GGTCAGACTAATTATCAAATGTCCAAATCAACGTTATTACAATATTGAAGAACTAAATCCTATCATTTATTATTTAAATCAAATTCAATTCCCTTTAAAGAAACGGTATTCTATCTTTAAAGAGCTAACTTCTAATATTTATTAAGTAAATCAAATGAAATCTTTCTCCCAACAATATTTTTAAAAACGGTATTATTTCTAAAAGATAATTCAGTTTTTAAATTAAATACGGTCTCAATATAAAACATTTCTTCTCTAAAAATATGAAAGTAAAAACGAAACAAGGTTTTTTTACCTAACGGATTTATAAACACGATACGAAAAATTTATCGATGGCGGACCTAATTGAGAATGCGGCTTTTACTTTTAACTGGCTGAAAACAAGTTCGCGGCTAGAACTTTATATCGGTTTAAAATTGTATCTCTCGCGAGCAATATCGAAATCGTGAATTTCGGTGTCTAAATAATTTTTCTATTTTCGGCTGTTCGATAAATCGGTGTATTAGGAACTAAAATTTTTAATTCAATCTTGGACCTGGTTCAACCGTCAATTTCCTTTCCATAGCAGAAACCCCACCAACGGCAGTACCACCGCGCATCAATATGTCGATCGGCAGTACGCAGCTGTTTTAGCCCAGGACTAACATTTCAAGCGCGTTTAATATTTATTAAAAATGAAAAATTAAAATGACCCGATTGAGGAAAAATTGACTTCATTACAACTATTTTAGCATTACCATGTATCTTAGTTATTTATCGTCAGTATAATTTAATTTTGAACCGAAATTTCTGAAAATCAATAGGGTTCTAAGTTAGAAGTAATTATTCAAGAAAATCAAAACCGCAAGTCAATCAGAACTTTCGTTCTAGAGTTATCGTGCCGGCATACATACATACAGACGACCAGACGAAAAATTTTTTTTTGGATTTTCGGATTCAGAATGATCAGAAACATAAAAAAAAGTTTTAAAAAATGGGGGTCAGAAAATTTTTTCGTCTGCACGAATGCAATACTGAGGCCCCATAAGAAGGGCCTCAGTAAAAATATTCTCTGCAAAGAAATTACTATCAACACAATAGTTACAATATAGCGACAAATTTGGACAACCTGCGGTTCAGGTGAAGATGAATACCGAGAAATATAGGCATCAGACTGAACGGAGAAAGATAGAATTATTACACGTACAATTGTCTTTACATAAACAAAGAGAGGGTTGCGTACAGATACATTCTATAAAATGGAAGAGGTACCTCTCAACTTCTACGGAACGCAAAGCGGTAGAACAGCCTTAATTAAAAGTATTAAATTAAATGTCGGTTAATGATTTTGGTATTTTGTGTCGCTAGTTATCCATTCTAAAATAGTTTGTCAACATATAGTGAAAAATATACAGAAAAAGTTATCACATTGATTGCCTAAAAGATGTGGGATAGATTACTTATTTTAAGTCGATCGTAAAAATTACGCAATGTATAGAAGTCGGTAATAAAGGATTTAGACATGATCAACTGGAGATTATCTTTCTAAATCCAAATTTTTATTTTTCAAATAAAAAGTATTAATTTAACAATAGACCAATTCTAAGTCAAAACAAGGATTAAAAATGAATGATGCCATCTTTTCATCTAAACAAATACAAGTACGAATCGTAACTATATTAGGATTAACACTAATCACAGCAAAATTGAAAACAGCATCTTGTCTTGTCACTATTAATAATACCGTGCGTGTAAAACAGAATATTGACACTAAACTTTAAGAAACTCATGTAAACAGATTCATTATAAAATATTAGATCAAAAGATTTAAAATGACTTAATTTAGCTAAATGGAAATAAGAATGTTTTTGCTAACCGCAATTGTTGCCGGTACAGTGTTGTTGTTGTTCAAATAACTACAGCCGACAACGATCTAAATAAATAATGAATTAAAAGGGTCAAACTAATCAGGAAAAACCCGAAAGTTCATTATAAATAAATGTGTATCACATATATTGTAGGAATAAAATAATAACCTTTGATCAAGTACAAAATTAGGATTCCTTTATTAAATAATGTAAGACCATTATAAACGATTCGCTATAAGTAAATTACATTATAAATGATTCAATTTCAAGTATTACAGGCCTCTGCCATTGGTTCAATTGTGCAGTTAACACCCAGTTAGATATCATAAAAAACACAATATTTTAAAATCACACAAATAACATAAATTCAATTTTATTATTTTTATTATTTTAGTACGTGTTAATCTCTTTTTTTTTGGTACGCCGCAAAGCCCTATCTGGTCGCGTCCCTCGGTGCAATAATATGCTGATTGAAAGTGAGAGGTTTCCGCAAATGCCTGTAGTTAAAACGAGAGGCCAACAGATCCGTAAAACAAACGTTGTGTCCCCTTGAAACCACGATATCTTTAACACCATTTTGTATGAAGGCCTTTAATCCAATATTGCTACATTTAGCAGATTTTTATTTTCTGATAGATTTTCAGTTTTTTTGGCTAGTTTTAGTACCACACATTTTTTTGGTAGATTTCTATATATTAGTAAAAATCCAATTACTCAAATAAAACTTCCTAATTTAATAATTGTATTGCTAGGTTATAACTAGGGCCGGAAGATTATCGAAATAAATTATTAATAATCCATTATTTAAAATAATCGGTTATTTTCGATAAATATACATATTAGATAAAAATAATCGATTCTTTTCGTTTAATTGATTGCTTTTGATTCATCGATTCTTTCCGATTAATCGATTCTTTTTAATTCAACAATTCTTTCCAATTAATCGATTTTATTCGAATAATCCATTCTTTTCGATTACCTAATCGAATATTTTCGATTATTAGATTATTTTCGATTAATCCATTATTTTTGATTAATCCATAGTCTTAAAATAATCGATTCTTTTTGATTAAAAACGTCAATTTATTCCAAACCAGTGGCGGTTTGCCCGTAAGGGAACTTGGGTACGTGCCCTAGTATAATAAACAAAAAAAAATTACTTACATATTTTATATTTTCCTCAATTATTATTTTATCTAATATTCAGCGCAAACCGCGTTGGCACGACACTGGACGACCGGGCGGTAAGCGACATTCCGAGAATTCCGAAATTAAGTTGCCTCTGTTGTTTTCTCTCTCATTATGATGCCAAAAACAAGGACAACGACAATATCCACATACTTTGATTACTATACGGTGCAAGAGATAGGTCCGACACGCCCAACATAGGGCGCGGCCATTTTGATGCCTTTACCACAGTTTATAGCTAAATAATCAGTTCGCTCACTCTGCGTCGGCACTTTTGATCTCAATGTTCCAGTTTATATACTGCGCAAGTCGGATAATACAATATATGACAACCGCCTATAATAAAACAGCAGTCTTCTGCGCATCCTGAATTTGTATCCCTGGAGCGGATGTTATTTTGGAACTTTCAACTGGTCCGAGTGAGCTAACTGATTCTTTAGCAATAAACTGTGACTCCAAAAATAATATTCACTGACACTGACAGCAGCAAGCAAAATATTAGGTGCGTTTTAATCATCCGCTTTTGCTTCCGGAATTGTCGGTTTAGTCGTTTTAACCTGTCAGATTAAAACAAGAAAACCGACAATTCCGAAGCAGAAACGGATGATTAAAACACACCTATTAAAAATATTGCGCCAAGAAGTAGGCAACACGTAATGAGGCATCAAAATGGCGGGGTTTTAAAAGGCACTCAGAAAGCTCCGTATTGTAAGAGAAAATCAAAGTATGTGACAATATCGCTTAGCAAGAGATGAACACATGCGATGCATTATACGTCACAAGCGGGGCGCTGTCCTTATCGTGACGTTGTGTACCCACGGTACAGATTACCTAAACCAGATACGAATGTACGCAGCGGCATCTTTACCGGCTCCCTCACAAAGGCGATGCCGGTTTAGGCTTAAGGTGCGCGTTTGTTGGACCATGATAATAATTTATTTATTGTGATTACGAAAACACGTTAGTTGGACCATTGGAATAAAACTACAAAGAAAAATAACTTTTTTTTATATAAAGCAGTAAAAAATATGATGAAAAAACAAAATCAATAATATTTATAAATGGGACAAAATTTTAATTTTTCTTTTGGCTTGTCTGACTTTTTCGAGGATTTCAAATCTCTGTTTGCATATTTAAGAGTATAAAATTCCAGGCTTTAGTTGACAAACTATTAAATAGAGATATAAATATTTTTTCTAATTTGAAAATATAAAAGAGAAATTTTTCGCTGGGAGATTTTAAATAGCCAAACACCTTTTCTTCAGAGTCGTATGCTTTAAAATGCGTTAACAAGTTAGAATTGTTAAGTAAATTGCATTCTTCTGAGAAATTTACGCAAATTTCGCAAGAGTGGATATGTAATGATTTTTTGATTAAATAGCCACATACATAGTTAAATGCATTTGTGGTCACATTTAGCTCCCTGTAGTCACATTCAGAAATCGTTATTGCCCCAACTGATTGTTTTAAAATATATTTAATTTTTATTAAGCGGAGAATTTGTTTTCCTTAAGGAAAAACGAATCCCGGGATTTCTTTCCAGTGTGTGCCCCACTCCACTGCCGCTAGTGCCCACGAGCCGCCACTGTTCCAAACATCCACTCATTCGAACCTGTGCTATTTAGCTTTCTGTGTTATTTAGCTTTCCGAGCTAGAGTCTCGACCTCTAGACCGTCAGGGCGACAATGCTTCCTGCTGATATCGAGAAATCAATTTTATACGATAGATACAACTTCAATAAGATATAATAGGAACTGTATTGAACCTTGATTTTTGCAAGACAATTATCATTATTACTTCAGTATAATCCGAATTCATAATCAAAATATTGTTATCTAAGGGTAAGTACTGTGAAAACAAAAACTAATAGGGAAGTTATAAATGTTTATAAAAATTCTTTAACAGTACGAACATTCATTCAGTAAGCCATACGATTAAATACCTATAGGATAAGTATTTACTTACCTGTTTGACCATCGCCTCTCTCAAAGAGTTTTCTAATATCCACGAACCGTTTGACCAAAGATAATCTTTGTTGTACGATTTCCGATGCCCTTTGTATTTGTTTTGGATCTCGTGGTTCGGTAATTTTTTGTAAACATCTCGAAGCTTCGGTAAGAGCGCCGAAACCTTTTTCGTAATTTTGAAATTCATCAATTTCCACCTAAAAATATATGTATATGTATCAAAGTTCAAAAGGATGTTTATTAATAGGGTATACAATAACTCGAGAATTTTTGATCAAAAATACGAAGATTTATTACTAACCCCTTTACCGTGAGCGATATAAATTGATAAATCAGTAATAATGTCTCTTATAATACAACGAAGAAAAATACTTTGAATAAAATGTTCTGAAATATAGGATATTTTCTGTCAAATTTAAATAATTATTTGATAGGCAAGTGGGATATAATTTAATGATTATGATGAAGAAGTAAATACGTATTTGCAAACAGTAAGTAAGTAATAAAACAATTTTTACTTACCTGAGCACAAGCCACGTAGAAATTTGCTAATAAATCCAACGCTTTTGCTTTTGAATAAAACGTAATTATATTTCGAAGAACTTCTGGATGATTTTGCCAATCTGCTGATTGTAGATAATTGGCAGCCATAATGTAAATTTCTCTCTGTCTTGAAACACTAGCAAAGAATGTAATCTTTTCGGTATCTCCAGATTTCAATAAGGCCTTCATAGCGCGAATCTGAAAACATCGAATACAAACATGGTTACTACCGAAGAAGAATATCCTTAACTCTCTCTCTCTGGAATTTCACATAAAAATATATTTTGAAGCCCAAGCCCCAAAAATATTTAATAATTAAAGCTGGCCGCTAACAACTTCAGAATCATCAGATTATAATTGAAAAAATAAAATGAAAACAATGAAAATAATTTATGAAAGGACTCAAACAAAAATAGAAGAAACCTAGACATGGATGAATATGAAATATATATATATATATATATATATATATATATATATATATATATATATATATATATATATATATATATATATATATATATATATATATATATATATATATATATATATATATATATATATATGGTTTTGAATTTATTCAACGTATTATAAAACTTACTTTATCTCCAGCTTGAGTGAATTTCTTCGTAGCCAAATGGTAATCTCCCTGGACCATCAAACTTTCAGCTAAAGATTCCAAAACTCTCACTCTAGTTTCTTCATCTACTAATTCATTAGAAGGCGTCAATTTTTCTGCTAAATCTTCGGTTAATTGAACATTATGTTTTACACATAAGTCGATTGCTTCTGTATACTAAAAACATTGACAAACATTTAAAACTACCAAAATTACTCTGCAAGAGTTTTGGAGTTGCAATTGTTTGAAATGTAATATTCATCTTTCTTGCTTCGAGTTTTTCACTATACTATATATTAGAGCATTTTAAAAGACAAAACTAATCGTAGAACCCAATGTTGCTAATCTAATTGTTTGTCACATAGAGATGAAAATAAGTGGGATGATCACATCGCTTTCCATTGGGAAACAGAGGGATCTATGTGGTTACCTAGACGACATTTAAGAATCGAAGAATTTGGTATAAGAGCATTAGAATGAATTAACGCTGGGGTATTTGTCCAGTGTAGTGTTTTACCTTCTATTCGGAAAAATTTTTCAATTTGCTGTTTGCAATGTCAAGGAATGGTTCTGGTATCAAGAACAAGATTTGGTTTATATTCTAGCGAACGCGTGTGCTTTTTCATTGCTCTCCACACCGATATATTACGGATCCCAGATCAAAGTAACTTTGTTCCGGGCATCTAGACTTAGAAAATTAAAAAGACAAAATAAAACTAGAATGAAGGCATATAATGCTTGGCATTCTAAATTATACTCTTCACAGTTTAACAGACCGCCCCATCTTCAAAACAAAATTTTTAAGAATAAATACGCCCCATCCCCTTTTTCGGAAGATTTCAATTTGATATTGTTTTTTTGTAAGTTAGGATTTTTTCAATATTTTAACCCCCTTATAACCCAATTGTGATTCAGATTTTTATCAGAATCAGTTGGCTTCATTCCCTTATAGAGCTTCATTTTTACCAACAATTTCATGTTGATATCGTTTTCTGTGTTTGATTTCAATTTTTTTATTTCAACCCTCCTTAAACATTCCATTTATATGAAGATTTTTTTTTAATTTAAAGGAATTTTGCCCTTATAGAGCTTGATTATGGCTAAAAATTTCAAGTCGATATTATTTTTCGTTTTTGAGTCAAGATTTTTTAAATATTTTAACCCCCCTTAACCTCTCATTTTTATTCAATTTTTTTTTCACAATCAATAGACTTTTTCCCCTTGCTTGACCTCAAGATTTCAATTTGATATCGTTTTTTGTTTTTGGGTTAGGATTTTTTCAATATTTCAACTCCCTTATGACCCTATTTTTACTAAGATTTTTTTATTCTCTTGTAGAGCTTGATTTTTAATTAATATTTCATGTTGATATCGCTTTTCATTTTTAAATTTTAACCCTTCCTTTAATCCTCCATTTTTAATCAGAGGGCTTTTTCTTATTATAGAGCATGTTTTTTTGTTAAAAATTTCAAGTTAATATCATTTTTCGTTACTGAGTTAGGATTTTTTTCAATACTTCAACCCCCCTTGTCCCCCCATTTTTATTCAGATTTTTTTTATAAAATCAATAGGCTTCATTCCCTTAAAGAGCTGGAGTTTTCTAAAAATTTCATGTTTAATAAGACTACTGTATGAAGAGTATAATAAGAATATGGATAAAAAAGAAGGAATAGAAACCACAGTGTTGCTCTAATTCTCTGGATGGAATGAGCATGAAAGAGTCACGAAATCGAAAAATGATGAAAAGACCTAGTGTAAGAGTTATAAGTAGAAGAGAAGTTGATATATCGGTTAATGGATTTTTGGAAACTCAGAAATAAATTCCCAATTTTCCCCTTCTTTAATTATCAAATTTAGCCCCAAACCTCAAAGGTGAAAACAAACTAATGTTTATTGATAATAGTCCACTTGTCCCGATCTAGGATCCAACCAGGTATACCTGGATTGCTACTCTTATGTATGTAGTTTGTTAAAATAACCTACTTTCTACTTACTTCCTTTTAATTTATGAGACATATAAAAATAATATAATGCAATGTAGCCATTTTCATAAAAATTTTGCCAGTTATTGTTATTATTAATGGCAACAACATACTTCACCGATAAAGTTTGGCCTTTAACCTAGATTTATAACTCACATAATATATAATTTTAACCAAATACCTACAGAATACAAAATTAAAAAAATATATATAGTTATTTTTGTAACCTAAGTATTGGAAATACATACATCCAACATATTTCATTTAAAACATCAGGCTAGCCGAGACCTGAGTGCTAAACCAATCAATGTTCAATAAACTGTGTTGAACTTTGAATTAAAATACTTCAGCATCAAACCATCAATTATACTATCAGTGAATGAAGAAAGGCACAGAAAGTGATTATTCAAATCACTCTACACCAGGTAACTATAATTATTGTATACAGTGTCACTTAGTTTGGCCAATCAGGGCCGTCTTAAAAATGTGTTTTATAATCGGTATGGACTCTCAAGCCCTTTATACTAGAAAAGTGGAAGATTAATGGTTACGTTAGTTTAAAACGGTGACTAAGTATTTCTTACCATCCGAGGATAGGAGGATAACCACTAAAGTCCGACGGAAGCTTCGGATACGGCTTCGGCCACCTTCGGAAAAAAAAAGCATATTTGGCCACACATTTGGCTTTAGCCAAAACCAGTCGAAGGTTTTTTGCCGAAGCCGAAGGTTTGTGTCCAGTCGAAAGAAATATTACGATTTACGAATGACGTTGACTTCAGCGCAACGCATGATTCGCGCTCTCGCATTTGATTTTGATTATTAATTTTTATTGTGTTTAACACAAAATATTATTTTTACATTGGTATATAATACTTTTTAGTTTAGTTAGCTAATGTTCTGAAATTTTTTCGGCTTCGGCCGAAGGTTACGACAAGAGCCGAACATTCCGCTTCGGCTTCGGCCAAAAACTGACCTTTGGTCGGACATTAATGACCACCTACTTTAATATCAAAACACAATAATAATATGTAATGCAAGTCCGCCATTGATGGAGGGAAAGAAGAAAGCTAATAAAAGGAACATACAGGATACAAAGAAAGGTATATCTTTCAAGGCTTGGAAGATATATTGAAGAGTGGCTCTTTTTGTACATCTTATATTATTTATTGTGACCGATCTTGCATTTCATTTTCACCGAATCTATATAGCAACACTACATAGTAAAAAGAACAGTCACAGAAGGATATACTTTTGTTTGTAACTTAATAATTTTAACTGTTACAAATGAATTAAAAGCAGAATCTAAGTACAGATAAGTAAGAAGATGTTTATATCGAAAACAAAATATAAAAATGTACCTTTTTAACAATTGCTAATAGATCCACTGCTTTATCAAATTGTTCGTTATCAATAAAATATTCAGCACAGCTTTGTACCAAAGCAGGATCCGAAGTGGCATTTAATTCTGATGCTATCTCCTGAAGAATATCGTACTGTTGAGTTTTAAATGCCAAATCAATAGCTTTATGCAACATTCCACCTCGATGATACAATATAGCAGACTTTTCCAAATCGCCTTGTTCTTCGAAATATTTAGCAATCTGGATTTTGTCTTTACCAGAAACTACGATGCTAAGATTCCATAATTCTTCCACCATGTTATTTTCTTTGCACAATCTGACTGCGTTGCAATATGCTGTGGCTTTCGTAAACATGTTGATGGCTTCTTCGAAGTTTCCCACGGTCTCGTAATATCGAGCCATGTGATAGAACGCAGCTTTATCTGTGTTACTCCTTGCTAGATCAGCTGCAATGGATTCCTTTCCTAAGAAACACAGAACTCGGACTTGTGAGTAAATATCACCTGCGTTTGAGTATATCTTTAAAGCGGATACCATATCGCCTTGGGATTCTACATATTGTCCCCACCATTTCATCATTTCTCTAAAATTATCAAAATTATTCTTACTAAATCTATATTCAAAATTACTTCGATGTCAAATTAATAAACATTTCAAGAATTATAATTGATATGTTTACTTATATGGAATGATTTATTACATAGAAAGTAGTCAGGGCTTTCTTTGTTGGAATTACGAAGAAACATTGACTTCAGTTAGTTCGTCAGTTTTTTATGTATAACCTGCTTTCTAGTATTGAACTCGTTAGTAGATATTGATTTTATGAACCAAAATTAATATTCGGAAAAGTTAGAAGCAGCTAAAAATTGGCCATTGGTGTAAAATAATGTTATGAACGAACCTCAGCCAAAAGAAGGCATCAATAACAACAGATAAGGAATGGTCCAAAGCCCTGTGTGATCATGAAACTGAATAGAACTCATTGTGTTAAAATTCGCTTTAAAATGCTATGTAGTTGTACATGTTGGAACTTAGTGATGGGTTTGTTGAAGATGCGGGATTAATATTTTCCACATAATCTAAAAATAGATTCTACAGATAGCGAATCTTTTAAAAAATGGCTTAGTGAGTAGTTACTGCAGTAAGTATACTAAATTGTATAGATACA